CATTTTTCCCTCCCTTCCCCTATGATCCTCTGTCTTGTTTCTCAAATTCCTCCTATCAGTGAGATCATATGATACTTGTCTTTCTCTGATTGACTCATTTTGCTTAGCATAATACCCTCTAGTTCCATCCACGTCGATGTAAGTGGCAAGATTTCATTTTTTTGATGGCTGCATAATATTCCATTGTATATATATACCACATCTTCTTTATCCATTTATCTGTTGGTGGACATCTAGAAAGAGCCTTACATTTTTATAGAATTACAGGATTATATAATTATCTCTCAACAGTTTTGTCACTTAAAAACAGTAAGGTATTTGATTATGAAAATGGAATATATTATGGAAATCCTTTCTATTAATGATCGAAGTGGTAGCAAGTCAGAAATTTATTCCATATTGTGTATTTGTTACATTGTAATTAGGAAAAGTTTACTTTAATAGTTACTTGCTTGCAAAAAACAATTATAAACTGTTAGTATAATCTGTGATGTTAATACTATATTAAAACTAACGTTCTTAGATAAGACCTATAAAATAATAAATTCGTAATTGATAATTTATTTATCCTTCATCTCAAATGATGTAAATAGTTTATAAAAAGTCACCTAACATGGAGGAATTCCTCCAAAGTTATTTTATTACTTTTATTTCATCTTCTGTTTCAAAATTAAGTTGTGCATATTTACCCTAGTAGGGGATATAGCAGAAGAGTGAGAGTTCATATGATTTATGCCTGAAAAATAAAAAAGTCAGTGTTTTAGAATAGAAAAATGTACATTTTCTGATAAGAGTTTTCTATGTGTAGAAGATAAGTTGGATACCTCAGATTTTTACTTTTGGAATCCTCATTTTGGTAATTACTAACCTCTTCATTGTGTATCTTGATTTCGTGGTTTGTAGCTTCATGGCTACAAAAGACATTTACATCATGTTGTAATTAATATTTAGTAGTAACATCTTTGTAAATGTTATACTTTCCCTCATATTTATTATTCTCTTTCGTATGAGAAAGGAGACTATCTGTCTCTTGGTTTATTACCACGTAGACCTTTATTTTAAGGGAGTTTCTATTGTGTACCTTAGTGTAAAGTGAGCATGTTATATGAATACTTCATAACCATTTAGTATGAGAAATACAGTACACTTAAAATAATAGTTTGGTTTTCTCTTGTAATTGGAATTTATTATTTTATTTGTAACTGCTTATGTTTTAATATACTTTTTAACTTGTTTTTAATTTAATGATATGTATATAAATTTAATTGGAATCTTTATACTTGGATTCCAGAAACTGTTTTTATTGTGGGCTTCCCTCTTGTGGTTGGAAAATTAATCTTGTGGTTGGTTTGAAAAAGATAAAGTTCTGCTTAAGTGGAATTTTACTCTCATATTTTATGTACTGCCATTTATGATACTTGGTAATTAGCATTTTCCCAACATATTAAAAAATATTACTGTTCCAGCTACTTTCTTTTAAAGTATAGAACTTTTTGGTATCAGGTTATTTATTTATGTAGTGTAATTATTTTTGATTGTCGTCTCTACCTTTATTTTCTAGTTGAAACATTGTAGTCGGTATATACATGACTTATTTCCTTCACTCATCAAGAATTTGGATCCAGTACCACTTAGACATCTCCTTAATCTGGTCTCAGCTCTTGAGCCAAGTGTTCATACTGAGCAGGTAATATGTTTAAACCATAATGGCAGGGTTGTTGTGTTTTTTTGTTTTTTAAGTGAAAATTTATTTGTGATTCGGGTAACTTAATTTGTAGATTATTACTAGCATTTCATTTAGGCAGAAGGATATTAAATTTGTTATGAAACGCTAATTTCAACCTCTCTCTCTTTTAAAGACATTGTACTTGGCATCGATGTTAATTAAAGCATTATGGAATAATGCACTAGCAGCTAAGGCTCAGCTGTCTAAACAGAGTTCTTTTGCATCTTTATTAAATACTAATCTTCCCATTGGAAATAAGAAAGGTTAGTAAAGTGTAATGTATTTTTTAAAGTCAGTTTTTTAAAGTTTATCATTCAAATTCGAAGTAGTTTCTTTTCAGTATTAACTTCAAAATAAGTTTTAGATGGGAGCTATAGTGTTTGTGAAGGGATTAATAAATTGGCATTAGCTAATGTTTTTGGTTTACCCTTCAAGTAAAGAACAGTAATCAAGTTGCAGTAGTTATTAAATTTTTCTCTCATTAGTGTTCTTCCCTTGGACTGGGGCGGGGCAACTATTTCATAACAGCTTTGGAGCTTTTGGTTAGAAAACAAACAACATGCTTTGTTTTAGAAATAATTTTGAGAGCAGAATATGATGGTATAATCTCTGTGTTTTCTCATTCAAAAGTTGTCTATCACTTTAGGTGTTTTATGTGTGCTTTTATATGTGTAACTTTACAGGGCTTTCTGAAACCTTACCAACTTTGCCCCATTTTTTTGTCTCCTGACATCATATAGTAGGCATTTCTTAGAATTTTCTAGTCAGGCACCCACAACTATTACTGCACATGTTAGGGACTTAAATTATTTCAGGTTTCTCTGCCTGTATCTTGTTGATTATGTAATAATAATAAGAGCAATTGATAATCCGTTCCAAAGAAGCTCAGTCACTTAGAATATTTCCCTCCTGTTTTTTCATTTTCCTTCAGAGGAAGAAGAGCTCAGAAGAGCAGCTCCGTCACCTTGTAAGTTGAGCCTTAGAAATGCATGGCAAGATGATGTGTAGTTTAGATTTCATGATCATCTAGAGTTAATTTTTTTATATTTGTTTCAAAGCCATGAAGTTTTTCTTGAGCAGATATAAACCCTTACCTGGTTTTCCATCTTACTTTCAATTGAGGTCATGTATATCCTCTTTAGAAATAATTGGCAAATATTAACTATTTCCAGTTTATATTTTTGGCTATTTAGAGTAAAGCTTTTGTAAATGAAGGAATCAGAGGATTATGTCATTCTGATAAATCCGTGTTAATACAAATTAGGAGTAAAAACAAAAAATCTGTTATTTAATATAGGGTCACCTGCTGCTAGTCCTCAAAGCAGTGATAACAGTGATACCCATCAGAGTGGAGGCAGTGACATTGAAATGGATGAGCAACTTATTAATAGAACGAAACATGTGCAACAACGACTTTCAGACACAGAGGTATGAAAACAGTTTTTCCCCCACTTTAACAAGAATTTTGGATTTTGGGGTTTCTGCTATGTATATCCTTTGAACTGGGAATATAAACATGATCCATGTTCAGGCCTTTCCTGTAAATAGTTATTATTGAGATTATTTAAATTTTTGTGTGTGTTTTTAATTCTTTTTGTATTGTTTAAAGGAATATGTCAAGATTGTGGCAGCCTTTTAAAAAGTACAGTGTGTTAATGTCAGTTACTTTTTTCTTACTACTTTAAATATTTATTTAAATCTGTTTTTTTCTGAATACAGGAATCTATGCAGGGAAGTTCTGATGAAACTGCCAACAGTGGTGAAGATGGAAGCAGTGGTCCTGGTAGCAGTAGTGGGCATAGTGATGGATCTAGCAATGAGGTGAATTCTAGCCATGCAAGCCAGTCAGCTGGGAGCCCTGGCAGTGAGGTACAGTCAGAAGACATTGCGGATATTGAAGCCCTTAAAGAAGAAGATGAAGATGATGATCATGGTCATAATCCTCCTAAAAACAGTTGTGGTACAGATCTTCGGAACAGAAAGTTAGAAAGTCAAGCAGGCATTTGCTTAGGGGATTCCCAAGGCCCATCAGAAAGAAGTGGGACAAGCAATGGAACAGGAAAGGACCTGGTTTTTAACACTGAATCAATGCCTTCAGTAGATAATCGTATACGAATGCTAGATGCCTGTTCACACTCTGAAGACCCAGAACATGATATGTCAGGGGAAATGAATGCTGCTCATATAGCACAAGCATCTCAGGAATCTTGTATTACACGCACTGGGGACTTTCTTGGGGAGACTATTGGGAATGAATTATTTAATTGTCGGCAGTTTATTGGTCCACAGCATCACCACCACCACCACCACCATCATCACCACCATGATGGGTAAGTTTCCTCAAAAATAGATTATATATTGGAGTGCCTGGCTGGCTCAGTTGGTGGAGCACATGACTCTTGATCTCAGGATTGTGAGTTCAAGCCCCATGTTGGATGTAGAGATTACCTAAAAAGTAAAATCTTAAAAAAAAAAAAACTTATATTTCCTTTAGGGAAGCAATTACAGCTTATATTCATTCGATTGCAATATATTCTAGATTAGTGCTAATAGGAATACAATGTAAATTCAAATGCATGCTGCAAGTATGTAATTG